AAATCGCCTAAACCAAAACTCACACGTACTTTTGGATACAACATTGATTCCAAGAACAGAACAAATTGATTCACATACTTTAGCAGCGTTTTTTCCTTGATGAAATTCATATCGAACGCAGTGTCAAATAAATTGCTTGTCGCTCGCCATTTTAAAACCATTTAATTTTGAGGTTAAGTTTCCAATTTTGTGAAGTCAATTATGTTTTTTAATAGTACACATTAAGCACCACTACATATCAAAAGAGCGCAAAAATATTTGAATTCTAAGTTTAAATTATACGTTACACAAAAAACGCTTTAAAACTTATTTGTACACCTAATACATATATGTCAAAAAAATAAGTTTAAAATACAATAAATAAAGAAAAATCTTTGTTGCTTTTTTCTATGTTACTTTTGTTCACTTTTTCACTTTATCACTTTTTCACAAAAATTAGACCAATCTCTTGAGTTTCTCATACAACATTTCATCAAATGAATAATCCACGTAATACTTTCTCTAAATTTCTATTCTAAATCATGAATGCTTGAAAGACAAATGTTTAAATGGAACATTGAAACGTTTATTTAAATAAAGAAAGAAAGAGAGAGAGAGAGAGAGAGAGAGAGCAATAAAAAAGGAGGAAAAGAGACGAGGCAACTTATTTATTTCATGCATGCACACTTCATTTTGACCAACATAAAATCAGGGGCCCTATTCTTGAAAAGTATCACATACGAAAAACTAGAGAAATACTATAGTATGCGTTACATATACTATAGCATTTCTCTAGTTTTTTATATGCGATACTTTTCAAGAATCGGGGCCAGGAGAGTTACGCTACTATATACTGTGGCCTAGGTGTTGATAAGTATCGTGTCGCAACCGAGGACAATCGCTTCTCGAAGAACAACAACAAGAGGTTTGTTCGTGTCATCGGAACCAATATGGTGACTAGATGTTCGCGTCGCGTTAGAGCATACTCCATGGATCAATTAAAAGCACGCTTCATTTACTTCATCTCAGAAGATGGTACAATTGGGGCATGTTATACATGCATGCATTAATAAATAAATAAAAGTAAAAAAATTAAAAAATAAAATAAAATAATATTAATATAATAAAATATAATATAATATAAAAATATAATATAACGTTTATATTTAATAAAAATGTATTTATTTTGTATAAAAGCATTTTTCAAATAATCGAGGTAACACAAAATATTCAAAACGAAACGAAGCACATGTCCGACCATTCGAGTGGTCTCACGGATTAGGTTAAGTAACATGCTCACTTGTCCTAAATCCGTTCATCACTGAACATTGGAACATTGGACATGAATGCAATTGCCTCATGTGTTATGCCTCATGTGTTATGCATTATGCAAGAGTTTGTGCTCCCCGTTTTACGCTCAAAAATAAAACATTCATATCGCAATACTATCGTAGCGAGACGAAACACGTCCGCCACGATCGAATCATGGTGGAAAGAATATAAGGTGAAGTACTCCCATGGATATGCAATAGGAGAATAACATTTGATTGGCTGTTCCAGTATAACCAGCGCTATTATACGCAGAAAAAAGTGCATATTGGAGAACATTTATTTAATTGGTTATTTCCAGTATTGCATTGCCATTATGCAATGTTTCACCTTATATTCTTTTCATCATGAATCGAACGATTTCGAGATTGAAGATAATATCTTTGTCATTATCATTTTCTAACTAAGTTAATAAATACCAGCGTATTATTTCGTTTTCATGTAATTTTTTTAAATATTAATATTAAACTGTTAGCAAAGCTTTAAATACCTTATGTATTAATTAAAATTATGAATGATTGGCATAGAAACGAAATTATTATTACAAGTAATATTTTGATTTGCATCGGTATAAACCAATGAAAAATCAAAGTGTAAAATCAAAATTATGTATTTGTTAACTGAAAATTAAGTAGGAAAATTAATCAAAATATTGGGTATGGAAAAAAATTCATGGCGATTTTCTAGTAAAATTCAAGTGTTTTTCTTAGAGTATTAAAATCAATTTATTTAAACCAAATATGCTCCAAATATGCTTTTCAATTTGCCATTTTTGGGGCAGAGTCATAATCCCATCGCGATAGAACTTCTATAGTTTCTGATCGAAAAACTGCTTCAAGTGATTTTCACAGGCTTCTTTTGAAGCCAGCTTTACACCATTAAGAAAGTTCTGTAGAGACCTAAACAAATGATAGTCTGAAGGTGCTATGTCAGGACTATACGGTGGATGCATTAAGACTTCCCAGCCAAGCTCTCGCAATTTTTGCTGAGTTATCAAAGATGTGTGTGATCGAGCGTTGTCGTGATGGAAGACGATACCCCTCCTATTGATTCTAGCCGCTTCCTCTCAATTGCTTGTTGTAATCTCTCCAGTTGTTCACAGTAGAGTTCGGAATTAATTGTTTGATCGAGCAATAACAGCTCATAGTGAACGATTCCCTTCCAATCCCACACACACGACATCACTTTCTTCGTCGTCAATCCAGATTTTGCGATTGCTTGTGCCTTCTCTCCTTCCTTTATCCACGATCTTTTGCGAGTTCGTGATTGTCGTTCGTGATTCATTTTTCATCAATTATCATTCTCTTCAGAAATAGCTCAATTTCATTCCGTTTCAGTAACGTTTCGCAAATGTTAATTCGGTCCCTCATGTTCTTAACACTCAACTCGCGAGGAACACAAACATCGAGCTTCTTTTTGTATTCAGCTTTGTGTAAATGATTTAAAACTGTTTTGTAGTCGATGCCTAGTTCCCTGGCAATCTCAGTGCTCACACTCGACTTTTTCCATGATTTCATCGGACTTTTCAGTGATTGGTCGACTGGAGCGTTCATCTTTCACATCGAAATTTCCAATACGAAAACGAGTGAACCATTCAGTGCTGCTGATTTTGATAGAGTATCTTCACCGTAAATAGCACAAATTTTTTTCAGCCTGTGCAGTGTTCTTGCCTTTATCGTAGTAATACTGCAAAATGTAGCAATTTTTTTCCTTATTTATTTCCTTTTCAAAATAAAATAACTTTTGATCCATTTCACCGATTTTAATCTTTTTCGGCTTAAAACAAAGGTTGAAATGTCACTTTTTAAACGCACGTTTAACGTTGTCGATTAGTAGTTACCGATTGCTGAGCATTTAATGCCATCTAGTGGGAAAAACGCTACGAACTTTTTCCCAATATGATGTCATAATGACGTGATGAAAACATCAGTTAGTCAATTTTTAGTCACTTGACGTCATTTGTAACATAACCAGATTTTGACGTCAAAGTGATTTGTATTTGCTATCTGGGTTGGGACCCTTTTATGTCGCCGAAAATTTACTCAGGGTTGATAGTCTTTAATAGCCTCTCGTCGATGCTGCGATCTTCTTCATAAAAAAAAAAAAGAAAATTCCGATGTATATCACAGAAAAGTTGCGATGCTTTTTTTTCGATGTGTTTTTGAACTCAGCCTTGCTCATAAAGCGATTGAACATAAACGGTTGGATCCATAAGTAAAGTCTGCGGCACACGATGCTTGTTTTTCTGCTGGATTGCTAGCTGGATTAGGGTGCATTCCGATATTCACTGCCAGTACTAAAAATCTACACGTAACGTATAGTTTCAGCACTGCAGTGAATATCGGAACTCTTATAGCGTTTTCTTTCGATTCGACCGATTTGCACCAACTTGGATTAGAAAATGCTTCGCTATTGGTTGGCGTTATACGTTCTATCAATAGGAGAACACGAAATATCATTACTTTAACCTAGGTTAGTGCAAACTCAGTTAGGTCAAAAACGCTATTAGAATCTTACCTATCGTGGCGATGCTGTCAGTGCTAGCATTGCAGTCGATACGATGGCAAGAGTCTAAGCTAGCATGCCAGTAGGAAAACAAGTATCGTGTATTGTAAGTTTTAAGGTGCGTTCACATGCAAGTCAAGTAGCGGAAGCAGCAATCAATTAACAAGGTGATTTTTATAGTGGCGTAAAATATATTTTCCGTATCGCTCAGTTGATTGCTGCTTCCGCTGCTTGACGCTTGCATATAAATGCATTTCAAGAATCGTTCGGCGAGCAAGCTACATTCCGAAACTCGAAAAAAAAGTATTGCAACCTTTCTGTAATCAGCTGTACAATAATGGCTTCTGCACACTGAACGTGGAAACGCTTGCCGCACGGTAAAATGTGATGTGGTAGCCAATAAGCTTACAGTTCCTAATGTGTTCATTGGTTATCGCGTCTCATTTTGCCGCGCGGCAAGCATTTCTGCGTTCAGTTTGTAGGAACCATAAGGAGTAAAAATTAAATTACTCTATATAAATTACTAAAGTAGCGCATTAATCCGCCATATTGGATTTACTTAACTTTACCATGTACCAATATGTACTAATAATACTAAGCATTTATTGGACTACAGCAACTAAGTCCAAGATGGCGGTGAAATAGCCAATAGGAAAACTGTCGGTTAGATAAAGAAAAGCGCTACTTTATAGTATTTTTGACCCGATCGAGTTTGCACTAACCTGGGTTGAAGTAATGATGTTTTGTGTTTTCCTATTGATAGAGCATGTAACGTCAACCAATAGCAAAGCATTTTCTAACACAAGTTGATACTCTTTCTAGGGCAAAACAAAAGATCAAAGACATTTCGCCGCATGCTCCGTCCAATATTATAGATGCGTTCAGGGAGACGCTATAAGCGTTGTATTATTTTATCTTTGTTTTACGTCTAATAAACAACAAAGATAGACTGACAGAAATAACACTAGCATCTCCCCGAACGCATCACATATGTCGATGCATACACGGAAGATCGAGCACGAGCCTTAAGAATCGATTTGTCGATTTAATCGAAAGTAAAAGAATTGATTTTTTTTAAAATTGATCTTAGATCGAACATACTTAGGCTACATTCCAAAACTTCCTTTCAGAGGAAAATTTTACTCTATATGCTATAGTATACGTTACATGTACTATATATTTCGAATAAAATTGTTCTCAGTTTGGAATGTTGCCTTAGATTCTAAACTGAGGTTGTGTGCTACTTGGTTCGAATGTGAATTGATTCGGCGAGTCGAAAAAAAGAGAATAATCTTGCGGATATCGCGACGCAAGAAGGAAAGGCTTTTATCGCGGATTTAAAATGAGACTCAGCTGAACGACATTATTAATTTCATCCCTTTTCGCATCGGATACGGGCTATCTATCCATCTGTCTGTCTCGCTCTAAATCGTTGTGTACAAATCGTAGACAATGCAAAGCGTAATAAATTCCGTGAAGGGCACTGCGTTGGGCGTTGCCGAATACTTGACGCCGGTGCTGAAGGTAAATTCTCATCTGCTTCCAATTAATATTACGTATGTGAGTTTCAAATAATGATGTATTTCAGCATTATCGTCTTTATATTGATTCTGCAATGAGTCAGTAGTTGGTAGTCCTAAGTCTTATTGTGAATCGGTGAAGTTGGCCAATAGCTAGCTTGTACAATTAAGATTACTGATTTTCTTAAGACTGGCCAAATTTGACTTTATTCCTACTGGTTGAGCTAAATGATTCGTATTTTATTTAATTAACAACTTGTAGATGTGAAAAATCAGTCATCTATTTAGGTTAAGGCTGAAACTTAAAACTTTATGATTTCCGACTACCGATTCATTGTAGAATTAGCTTTAGATCTTAAAAACTTGTAATAAGATAATTTGAACTTTCTTACAAACTTAAATCTCTCAAACTTATATCTCTCAAGATAAGCTATTTCCATTGTTCGTATTTAATAAACACAAGTTAACAATATATCAATATATTTTAAAGATGTATTATAGCAGATTGTGTGTGATATCAATAATACATTTGCATTAAGTTTATATTCTATCGATTTATGCTTGTTTCCACTTATATAGATTAATTTTAATCTCGATTCAACTTATTTTTCATCTTTTTTAATCTTTAAAATTAGAAAAAGATGAAGAGTTAGACTAGAATCAGACTACGCATTTAAAGATTAAGATTGAAGATTGAAGAATTGAAATTTGATCAATGAGGACAAAGGAATTTTAGTTTCTATTGTTTTGATTGGTCAAATTTCAATTTTTCAATCTTCAGTCTCAATCTTCAAAGTGTAATCTGATTCCAGCCTAAGTTGAACTGAAATTAAAGTTAATTCATATCGATCAAAATAGATATTAATCTGATAACAGAAACAATTTGTCATATATATTAGGTTATCTAAAAAGTATCCGCGGTACTTTGTCACTAGATATATGACCATCAACACACATCTAGTGACAAAAAACCGCGGATACTTTTTAGATGACCCAATATATTTAACACAAATTTGTCATATATATATTGAAATGATAATATTTTATTCAATTTCTGCAGTAAATCATATTATTCTGTTAGCAGATTTTTTACTGAAATTTTACCAAAATTTGTAGTAGATATTTTACAGAATTAGAGTTGACGCTGTTAATGATGCGATTAATTAAAATAAATAGTTTAGTAGTAAATCTATCAGTTATAATCTCATTATACACTCAAATTTGAAGCCAAAATATTTAAATATAATTGTGTTGGATGTGATTGTAGATAAGTTACGTGATTAGACTTACTAATAAATATTATATTATTTATTTTAATTGCACTGTTAATGCATTCTCATCGCTCTTAATTTAACTATATATTTTTTTAATTTTTGAGAAGTCATTTCTGGAAGGAGGAATTATATTCTGTACATAGGCTTGACTGCAAAAACCGAGCAGAATCTGCTATATTATTATTATTTAAATGATGTGTATTATTTAAACAATTATTATAGATTCTGTAAGCAGATTTTTACTAGCATTTTGCCAAAATTTTACCAGATGCTTACTTTGCAAAATTTATCATCGATTGATTTGACTGTCTAGTTTTTATTGATTTCTTTTACTTAACTCTTTTTTATTGTGTCATTGTTTATGGGACAACTGTATTTAAGTGGAATTGACTATGTTAAACAATTTCACTAATCTGGTTTAATAATATTCGTATAATAGTTGCTTTTGAAATGTATATTCGATTACACAAAAGCAGTTTTAATTTATTCTATCATAGACTATTCAAAATTCCTTATAAACTCCTGATATTCTAAATTTTTATTATATCTCTAACGTAATAATAATTTATAGTAAATTAAATTTATGTTTAACTACAATAAAACTTATTTTTATGTCACAACATAATTTTAACTTAATAATAAGAATCTTAATTCTTTATGCTCTTTAATTGTATACTTAATCTGAATTCTTTTTAGACAAATATTTTTTAACAATTTTATATTAGATAAAATTTCTTTTATGCTGTAATAAATAAAATTAAAGGTTTTTCATTGATTTTTTTTACATATGTTTTTTCATTGCAATTTATTGAATATATTTATATATTTATATGAAATTGTATGATTCTTTTAAGGAAAGCAAATTCCGAGAAACTGGTGTCTTGACACCAGAGGAGTTTGTAGCAGCTGGCGACCATTTGGTGCATCATTGTCCCACATGGCAATGGGCTACCGGCGATGAAGATAGGGTCAAGTCTTACTTACCAAAGGGTAAACAGTTCCTTCTTACTCGTAATGTTCCCTGTACACGTCGATGTAAACAGGTAATATAATAGATAAAGATAGTATGCAATTTTTTTTTCTCTCTCCAGCTTGAACATAATATCATTTGTGTCTTCTATTTGTAGATGGAATACAGCAATGAGCAAGAATGTATTATCGAAGCTGACGATCCTGAAGGTGGTTGGGTGGACACCCATCATTATGCCACTAGTATCGCTGGCCTAGATGAAAGAGTGACAGAAATGACATTGGAAGAGACACTGGGAGAACCATCTCAATTTCAAGATAACGCAGACGAGGACGAGGATGATGAGGATGCTGCTGATATGGATGCTTTCGAAATTAGTGGCATGCTAGATGAGCAAGATAAGGTATTGAGTGTAAATTTGCTGAAAAAAGGAGATTTTCTGAATTAATAATTATAGAAAACAATGTTTTCTTGTAGCATGCCGTGACGGAAAGCACTAAAAAGAATAGCCACGAGAAACGAGATTTATTTACGGAGGGAGAGATTATTCACACTCGCACCTATGACTTGTACATTACATATGATAAATATTATCAAACACCCAGATTATGGTTGTTTGGCTACAACGAGGTAAAATGTGTATTATTTTTTTCCGATTTCTTAAATTGTTGAATTATTGCATCTTTTTCTAGATCTATTGTATTATTTATTTTACACATTAGAATCGGAAGCCGCTTAGCGTAGAAGAGATGTACGAAGATGTTAGCCAAGATCATGCTAAGAAGACAGTTACGATGGAGACTCACCCTCATATACCTGGTCCTCCTATGGCTTCTGTTCACCCGTGCAGGTAAAAAAAAAAGATAAAAAGAGATACGAATTTTGATAGATTAATTAAAATAAACTATTTATGCAGGCATGCTGAAGTAATGAAGAAAATTATGGAGACAGTGATGGAAGGCGGTGGAGAATTAGGAGTGCACATGTACCTCATAATATTTTTGAAATTTGTTCAATCCGTCATACCAACGATCGAATATGACTACACGCAAAATTTTATGCTAAATGCAGCCAGCTAAATGCATCACTAGTATTAAGTTATCAGCATTATATTATGATTATTATAAATTGCTTTCCAACTATTTAATAGCTACACGAGATAATTGTGTATCAATGTTTACGCTTTTCATCATAAATACAAGGGTCATAAGGATATTTGGGATTATAAGGATTCTAAAGAATTTCGAATTGACTTTCGAGGATTCAGGAATCTTGATAAAAATATCGAACATAAATATTTACACCTGTAAATTGAGAAGATATGAAATTGCACATGTCTCGAGCGTATAGCATTTAAGGATCCATTTGTACACTCGTCCTAATTAATTTTAATCAAATACACTTCAAGATATTTTTTCTACATTATAAGATATTGAATTGAATAGATATTTGATTTATTTTAGATAATAAACGAGGAATAAAAGTTATGCAGAAAGTAACGAGGAATTGAAGAGGAGAGAGAGAGGGGGGAGAGAGAGAGAGAGAGAGAGAGAGAGAGAGAGAGAGAGAGGTCGTTTCAAAAAAGATAATTTCCTATTTCTTATATGTTTATAATTAAGTTAATTATTTGTTAATTTATCATTTACAACAAAGCTTAAATATTTATCCAAATGGATTGTAATTATTATGAAAATAAATTGGAATATTTCTCGAATATTATCTGTATGTGATGACCGATTTATTTACCGCAGTTATGGAAAAGTGATTAAAATTTAGCCTTTTCCGGTTTTTAGCTTTGATCACTTCCTCTCTGATTTACTTACACATCAAGAAGATACATAATTACTTACGTTTCACTGATAATGCATGACATTTCCATAAATTTACTAGTGCATAAATTAACTTCAGTGCGATTAAATGAGTAGTTGACAGAATTATGGGATACCTTGTGATGCGATGTCACATTTGTTGTTTTATGTGTAGGATTCGCAATAATGTTCTTCAAAAAAAACTCTTCATTTTTTATTTTTGTACAGAATTCACTTTATCAATTCGCAACAATTTTTATTTCTAGATGCGATCGGTCTCGCAGGACTCAATGGACTAAGTTACTTAGTCCAAATGCTCTCTATTTAAAGGCTTCAGAAATGTTTCTGGAAAATTCGAGTTGTTAAACGGATACCGTTTTTAGAAAGTCTTATTTCTATTCTTATTCTAAAGGGCCTTTATCTTTAAGTAAATGGACAATGGTCACAAAAAAAAAGAAATATAAGGAAAATAAAGAAAAGGTCGTATTTCTAACGCTTTCTTGTCCTAAGGTAAATTCTAACATAGGTATATGGACAATGGTCACATTTCCTTATATAAAAATTTGATGTATCTTCAAATTTTATTTCTAACCGTCTTAGTACTTCTGAATTTAACGTGTGTAACTCATGGCTAGTAGTATACAGTGAGGTATATAATGTTGTGTTGGAGCACGATTTCCAAAACTACATTATAACAATTTCCGAATAATTGCTTAAGTAAATTAATTATATTTGAGAAAAGAACCGATCTTAAAGAAATATAATCAGAACAGAGTATATATATATAAGTTCTCAGCGCAATTCCAATCCAGTCTTGATTCATATGAAGTTATATCTAGAGCGTATTTTGTATCTGCATATATTTAGTCATGCATTTTTCGATATCACGTTCTGTGATTATTTCTGTAAGACAATTATCTTTTATTCCTATTTTATAGTCTGGATACGTTCGCTTCAATAACTGATATCCGAATCTTTTAGCTATATTTAATTCTAGCTCGCTATCGGCATAAATGTAGTTTTAAAAATCTAATAAAATAAGCTTTTGAGTTGTATCTACAATTGACTGTCTTAACCAATCGTGTCTGGGAAGTAGATTACTCTAGTTAACTCTAAATTTTTATCTTCTTATTAACGAAATTTATTTGAGATCGTTAATTCGAAAAAAGTAATAATTCTTTCGTTTAACTAACGTTAATTGTTGTTGGACGTGTGCATGAAATGAGTCTGTAAATTCATCTCTAGCACAATCTTAATTCTCGCTGAAGCTACCAATTTGTCGTTTTTTTTTATTTCAAATTAATTCGTTATACACACACACACACACACACACACACACAGCATGGCAACGGACCATCGAAGGTTCGAGAACAATTCAATCATGCGCGCGAGCGCAGTGCTCCGATGCACGCCATGCGCGGCCACCAATCCCATGCGCGGATTTTCTGTCGCTCATGACTGTTACGTCGAAAGTCATTAGAAAAGAATCCGAGGCGCTAATCAATCTTATACAACAAATGCCACGCAAAAATTACAATTGTGGCAAAATTCTATTGGATTTTATCAAGAGGAGACCTCAGGCTACGAAGGCAATATATGCACCGATCGTCGCTGATCTCTCTCTCTTAGTGTTCAGAGTCTCGCTAGTATATCGTGTAAAAAACCGCCGTAAAAAACCGCCAAGTAAAACCGCTGTAAAGAAGATTCCTTCGAGAACCGCCGAGAAAATCTCCGCGATTTTCTATTACTACTGAGTAAGATAATTCGGAAAAGGTGATTGTATCGAATATTTTGTGATAATTATTTATGTGTACTTAATTTGTGGTTGTAAAAATTGAAGTAAATCTTTAGTCAAACTATAAAGAAACGGAGTTCTTTTCACTTTCATGCGTTATATCAGCCGTGTGCCGTCCTCTCACTTTAATCTTTACGCGCGGTACAGTCCCACACAAAAATTAAAAATTGAATAAACAATCGTTTTTGTGTTAAAGCTATTGTTTTATTATTTATATCTATAAGAGTAGTGTAATGTATTTCATCTATCGATACAAGGAAATTGTCTATTTGTTTGTGCTCCCTGAAAATGTTAAATAATTCTTTAGATGATAAAATATATGATTTGACACTTCCATCAACAATAAGCTCTTCTATTTTTTATCCGTTAGTTTTTATAAATCGTTATCCAAATTTAATAATGCCTCATCTATCTGAATATTAGCTTCCTTGATTTTAGACAAGTCTCTAATACAATTAAACTGTTCATTCAAATTTCTTATCGTGGCTGAAGTAATTCGATAACTTTTTCACTGTCGATTAAGGTTTTAAGTATAATACTAGTTTGATTCTTTACATACTGAACACTATTTTTCTGATCAGTATACAATTTATCTAATTCGTTATTGTAATAACTCGCATCCGTGTCAGCTAAAGTTCCAAATAACTTATTTTTACTTATTTTTCTTACGAAGTCGAATAATCCGCGTTTGATTTTCGTCCTTCTTCGAAGTCTCGCCAAATGTAACATATTGTCTAAATCGCCGATTATTTCGTTGAATCGCCAAGCAAGATGATGTTTAAAGGAACAAGTACAATTTTTTTCATTAAGCAACTTTTAAGAAAAACATTTCTGATATAAATTCGTATACGCAACACTAAGCAAATCATAATTTTTTTCTAAATTCAGGTTAAATCATAACCCATCACTATCTTTCACTGTTCATGGTACAGTTTAATTGTTTAACGTTTTAAGGTAAATGACTTTGTTGTCATCGAGTTGTGTAATGATATTTTTCTATCTCTTTACTAGGGTGACTCTGGAGAGTCAACAGAAAAAGGATTGGAATAACTCTTTCGAGTTCATCTTATCCACCTGTAATAAAAGATTTCATGTTATTCCTGTGATACTGTTTAATCTCTGTGTTTTCGCGAACATGATAAGAATTTGTCATGTCGAATCACAGGAAATGGGCCCTTCCACGAGGTTCGAATGATTTAGCATTGCAGTTCTTCACGAGTACCAAATCATTATTTTCTATTGGAGTATAGGATTTATTAGGAATAGAGAGGTTGGAATCCTGATAATCACATATGTTTCTACATACCTCTTCTAATTTATTTTTATGCTATATATGCAGATCGTCTATTTGCTTTTGGGGATAATCTATCATCTTCTTCACTGAAGATTAGGTTCCCTGCCAAATTTTAACTCGTAGAGTGTGTATCCTGTATTCTTATTTATCGTACAATTATATGTGAGCATTGCTTGGGGCAGTATTATGTCCCATTGCTCTTGTTCTTTCATACAATGCCTTATATATTCTGTAAGAATAATGTGTGACCTTTTGTTTTTCTCGTTTGGTTGTGAATGGCAAATTGACGTAAGCGTATGTTTGGCATGTAATTGATCGCAAAATGTCTTGAATTCATTCGAAGTGAATTCCAGAGCGTTGTCTGATAGGATTTCTTTGGATTTGCCAAAATATCTAAGCCGAGAATACCAGAGTGCTCTAATAATTAATACGGTCGATTTATCTATAACAGATTCTGTGAATATCGTGTAAGATAATCTTGTACGACCAAAATATAACGATTTCCCCTATTTGTCAACTCAAATGGATCCCATATCTATAGATATCTTTTCATTAGGAGCTCGAGGAATATCTGGAGAGGAATATATACATTCTGTCAAAAAAGTACCGGGAATTGGTCAATAAAACACAAAATAGTTATTATTCATTCAAATTTATTGTATCGCCTTCAAAGTAGGCTCCTTTCGAAATAATACATTTATGCCAACGAATAATTCAATCATCAAAACATTTTTTAAACGCATTTTCCGGAATCGACTTCAGTTCTCGCCGCGAATTCTCTTTTATGTCTTCTATCGACTGAAAACGAGTGCCTCGAAGTGGTAATTTGAGTTTTGGAAAGAGAAAAAAGTCAGCCGGAGCCATATCTGGTGAATACGGTGGTTGTTCGATGATATTTGTTGAGTTTTTGGTCAGAAATTCGTTCACAATGATAGCCTTGTGAGATGGTGCGTTATCATGGTGCAAAATCCATGAGTTTGTTTTCTACAAATCTGGCCTTTTTCGACGAATTTGCTCTCTCAAACGCCGCATAACGCCCAGATAATATTCTTTATTTACCGTCTGACCTTCTGGCAAAAATTCCGAGTGCACAACACCACGACAATCAAAGAAAATCGATGTTAACTTCAGTTGAAGATGTTGATGGCCGACCAGAGCGAGGCAAATCTTTCACCACATCTCGACCGCTTTTCAATGCACTGTACCATTCATATGCACGTGTTTTTGATAAAGTCGATTCACCGTAAGCCTTCTGTAACATCTTCAGCGATTCGGCACACGAAATTCCATTTGCAATACAAAATTTGAGACAAATTCTTTGTTCGATCTTTTCATTCATTGTAAAAATCGCAAAACACACTTGAGATGAACTGATAAAATCGAGCACTATAATCACATTAAATGACAGATGGCACTCCAACTCCGCGTCAGTATAGAGGACAATTATGCCAACTTAGCGACAAAAAGAATTTTGACAATTCCTTTAAGCAGGCTTTTTAAATGATCAATTCCCGGTACTTTTTTG